AACCAGCAAGTTATAGGCCTCCCTCCTCCTTCCCCTTCCCTCCCCAAAAAAACCCCTTGAAAGAATGAAAATTGAATATCAAAGCACAATAATGTTTTGGTTTTCAAAGCTAAAATGTATTTTTTATTTTTGCCAACCAAAAGCCAAAAACTTCCTTGGAAGTGCCACTCAATGTAGTCATAAGTGTTTCCAGTGTCAGAGATTCTGCTCAAAAAAGGAGGGGATAAGCCAGGGATTTGTAACAGGCACATTCTTCATGGCGTGGTCAGCATACATGATGTATGCTTACCCACTGACCATGCTAATTCCCCAAATGGTCTGCAAACTCAATCCTCATAGCACCAGGACGATCCAGATAATTCTGGTTCACAAGTCTATTGAAACCTGCCTGTATCCTAACCCAGAATTTACCTCTTCTCTGAAACCAATAATCTCATAGCCAGAGCCAGATCCTGCATCCAGATCTTCTGTACCTGCACCTCACAGTATGCTGGGTGGATGGATATAATCAGTGCAGCAGTCTTGTTCTTCTCCAGTTAGGGGAGTTTAAATAAGCAATAGAAGACAGAACAAACTCACCTGGCAATATCAAAGATTCTCCCACTGGTGTCATCAAAACTCATTGAGTGCACATTATTCCTTGTTCCTGCAAATTCTCGACTGCTTACTTGAGCTAAAAGGAAAGAATTTTTCTGTCAAGATTCAGTTGGCAGCCATCTCAGCTTATGACCTGCTGTCAGAGAATCACACAGTCTTCTCATTTGACTGTTATTAGATTCCTAAAAGATGTAATTAAAGTGGTCCTCCAGGAACTCATGGGATTTAAACCTAATAGTCGCAGGTAGTAATCAGTGGGAGCATTTGTTATGCCTTTTCTAAAGGTATTGGAAGAGCTGCTGCTCACTGCTCCCTCAGTGGTCCTCACTATTTCAGAATAGGCGTTATTCCTCATGGAATGAGGTTTACAGAAGTTAGAATAAGCCATCTGTTATTTTGAATTTATTTCAAAATAACACTTGCAATTGTTATTTTGGAATAAGTGCCGTTATTCTGAAATAACACTGCTGTGTAGACGCACTCTAAGTGTTATGATCAATATCTGCCAGCAGTTATCAGTCACCAAACAATTTCAAAGCAGAGTATATTTATTGCAGGACAGAAGCCTTACAGAGAAAACACACATAATAATAACAGGTATACATGCATCCTAAACACACCAGCAGTTGCCTGTCTTCCATATGGTGTGTCTGGTAGGTCCAGTCCTTCAGCATGGTTTGGTTCCCTTCTTAGTTAGAGGATCATGTCTGTTCTTTTATTTCAAGAAAGATGTGGAGAAACTGGAGAGGGTCCAGAGAAGAGCAACAAGAATGATTAAAGGTCTAGAGAACATGACCTATGAAGGAAGGCTGAAAGAATTGGGTTTGTTTAGTTTAGAAAAGAGAAGACTGAGGGGGGACATGAGAGCCGTTGTCAGGTATCTAAAAGGGTATCATAAGGAGGAGGGAGAAAACTTGTTCATCTTGGCCTCTCAGGATAGAACAAGAAGCAATGGGCTTAAACTGCAGCAAGGGAGGTTTAGGTTGGACATTAGGAAAAAGTTCCTAACTGTCAGGGTGGTCAAACACTGGAATAAATTGCCCAGGGAGGTTGTGGAATCCCCATCTGTGGAGCTATTTAAGAGTAGGTTAGATAAATGTCTATCAGGGATGGTCTAGACAGTATTTGGTCCTGCCATGGGGGCAGGGGACTGGACTCGACCTCTCGATGTCCCTTCCAGTCCTAGTATTCTAGGATTCTATGATTCTTTGTATTAAAATGAAGCCCTCCCTGTCAATTAAGTCTGGTCCTTCTTACCCCACGTTCTTTCTTTGTATCATGTGGTGTTTGAAACTGACCTGAAGTAGTATATGCCAGTCACTCCAGGGAGTAGTATTTCTCTGGAACTGCTTTCAATCCCAGGGATCGAAGTAATCTTCCCCCAGTGGATTTTGTTCCTGGTGAAGCTGTGATCACACTCTGCCATCGAGCAGAATATAATCCTCAGCCCACAGCAATACCTATGACATTCATAAAGATAATACAATAGTCTCTTAAGATACTGCATGTAGTTGGAAACCTATCACTGTAATATTTAGAACAATAAACATTATCTGGCTCTAAGACTATTTTGCTTTGTGCTCTGGATACAACAGAAATACAGCTTTTGGAAATGCTTTTACCTAACTATACAACATTTCATTTAGTTAACTTTTTCTTCTAACATCTCAATAGCTCCCTTATTGTGACCATAACCTTGGCAAAGGGGGCATATAAATTCATAGACAGAAAGAATATCTCACCTTTGCAATATAGAATATGTAGCTTAACCTTGATTGTCTTGGTCCTAAACTTGGACTGTATCTGGACTCCACTTTCCCTGCCTATCTCCAATTAAGACTGATTAATAGTGACTTTGTTCTTTAATTACACTAATAATAAATGACACAAGTTCAAAAGGAGATATATCTGAAAACTTATTCTATGTGTTTTCCTTTCCCTTCACAGTGCTGTGCGGTGGAGATGAGAGCTTCTTGTGTACCAGTGGAATCTGCATCCCTGGGAAACTACAGTGTAATGGCTACAATGACTGTGATGACTGGAGCGATGAGGCACATTGCAGTATGTTACTTTAAATCTGAATAGTGTTTGTCTAGACAGAACACTGAATCACTTAGTGGAGCTTAGAAACAAAAGTCAACTATTGAAACAGGATAAGAGCTTTGCATTTTGTATATATTCACTTCTGGCTTTTCTTTCAGGTTCCTATGAATAGCCTTTGCCCAGCCTAAGCACAGAATGTTTTTGTAGATTTTTTTTTTTTAAAGTTTATGTTTAAAAGTTTTGATTTTATTGGCAGTTGAACAGCTAAGATTTCTTTAAGGCTCTATGGCAGTTGAAAATATTATTGGACAGATAATTTTTTTAATTGATAAGTTACCTGCCCTAAAGAGCATTTGCGTGAAAAGATAACCAGGTTACACATTTTGAATGTATATTGTTCTGGTACTTGGCTTTGATTTTACAGCAGATGCAAAAACCATCTACTTTAGAAAGTTGTTTCTTTTCCAGCCCTGAATATGACCTTTATAAACACATTTCACTATCAGGTGCCATGGAAAAGGAAAATGTATATGCTCATTACGTTTCTTCATCTGTCACTTCCATTCTCCAGTGTAGTATATATTTCAAAACTCAAGCACATTTTCGTCTGTTTAGATGAGTAAATTGTAAAACTAAAAGCCTTACGGTCAGACATTCTGAAAAAAAAATGAACATTAGACAAAAGAGTAAAACAAGAAGAAAGAGGGACCGTTTTAGGGATAAGTAAATGGTGAGTGTGTTTGGAAAATTATCAGTGAGTCAAACCAAGATTCTGGATCCAAATACTCCAAAACTGGAAAAATAAAATTACCTAAACAAATAATTATCAGACTTGATAACTGGGAGAAGCAACAATCAATTACATGGAATTACTAATTACAGTAAATGCTTCTTACAGGATGAGTTCAGGATAAATAAATCAAAATATGCTATTACTGATTAAGTTTATTAATGAGACGGCACTCAAGGAGTAACAATTTATACTTTACAAAGAATTCTTTTCCTTCTACACTAAAGGATGTCAACAAATAAACATGACTGAAATAAAGAATAAATTATTTAAATATCAAAATAAAAAAAGAAACTAATAAACAATTAAAATCAACAGGGGTGATGCAAATGATAAAATCAGGTAAATAAAATACACTTAACCAACCTTATTTTAATGCACTTTATATTTTAGAATTTCATACTGCTTTAATACAGTATAGCAATATTAAAGCAGTATGAAATTCTAAAATATAAAGTATATTAAAATAAGGTTGGTTAAGTGTATTGAATGAATTAATATTAAATAGTTGAGTATAAAATTTGAAAACCTCTGAGAATTAACCACAGAGGTATTCACTTAATTAGATGCTATCAGCATCAATTAGTTGTTTATCCTAAGACTAACTAGTAGCTAAAATTAACAACATAATTCAACAGTTACAATAAAAAAGATATTATATAAGAGTAGCCATGTTGGGTCAAACCAGTGATCCATCCAGCCTAGGGGTGGGCAAAAAGTGGCCCATCCCTAATCTAGCTCAATAGTCTGTCTCCGACAGTGACTACTAGAGCTTTAGGGGAACTGTACTGAACAAGGCAGTTGGAGTGCTCCACTCTGTTTTCTTCCCAGATTCTGGCAGTCAGAGGTTTAGGGTTTACCTGAGCATAGAACTACAATGGCTATTAGCCAAAATGGTCAGGCATGATAGACCTATCATCTGTGAACTTATCTACAGTAATTCCTCATTTAAGACAATAGATGCATTTCTGAAAATGTTCGTGCTAAGCAAAAACATGCTATGCGGGGTCAATTTTCCCATTAAAAATAATGGAAAAGGTGGGGGTTGCATTTCAGGTGGTGGTGACGAGGTCAATTTTTTGTTGGTGCTCGGTCGTCAACATCAACATTAGATGAAGTAGATGGAACAGGCTTATCTTGTTCATCAGCTGATTTTTTTTTTAGGTTGAACATGAAAAAGCTTTTGATAGAGAGCTGCTTTAGTGCTTTTTGTTTTTCGTTGTAAAGTTGCTTGTAGCAAGATATGGCGCTTTCTAAGCTTTTCGCTACTTTTGAGCTCTGTTCACGATCAGGATCATTCTCATAAAAAATGTTTATTACATCACGTATAAACACAAGTCACCACGGTTTGTTAAAACACAAAGATAAACACGTGAGTGAGCAGAGGAGCACTGTGACCACGTGTATTCATCCGCTCATGCGTATTACCACTTTTTTCACAAACTTATACTGCCGCGTGAAGTAGTCCATCACTTGATTATTTTCATGTTACTTTGGGGACAGTCGTATTACTTGAAAAATGTTCCCTAAAAAAAATTGTGCTATTGTGAAAACGTGTTAAATGGGCATGTGTGAAATGAATAATTACTGTAGTTCCTTTTCAGTTCTAGTTCAGTGATACTTTTGGTCATGACAACATCCCAGGGAATGATTACCACAGGTTAATTGTGTTTGTACACCATGGATTTATATAGTGGCATTATGATAATTTCAGTCTTATTTTGTATCCCAGTCCCCGGATTACGTACAAGATAGGGATTGTAGGTTTGTTCTTAAGTTGAATTTGTATGTACGTCGGAACTGGTACATATTGTAGGGGAAACTCTAGCCAAACATTTCTCCAGAGCTCAGTTTTATTCTCCCACACCTCACTTCCCTCAGTCCTTTATTCTCAAGCTGAGGTGTCTGCTGAAAAAAGCCGCTACGTGTCTCCCTGGTCTGCTGGGGGGGGGCGCTAGCTTCGCATCTCCCAGGTCTGCTGGGGGGAAGCAGCTAATGCGGGATTGCCTCACCTCGTTTGTAAGTAGGGATCCGATGTAAGTCGGATCCATGTAACCCGGGGACTGCCTGTAGTTCCTAACATTCTGCAAGCCTTTTGGACCACTGCATTGAGCAATGTGCTCTTTGGACATAAAGCAGAGATTGGAACACTTTATTAAGTGTAAAACAGTAACTGGAACCAAGACCAATGTTTTCATAATACTGAAAGGTGCTAGTTACCCTAAATATTTTGATGTGTTATTTATCAGTTGAATTATTACATGGTTGATGATCTAAGTAGACAACTTAGACATGAAAAGAAAATGTGCTTTTCTCTGACTTTCTGCCCTTTAAACTAGTTTGTATAAACTAACTTCTTAGTGCTGGTGCTGATATGTGTCATTCCTGTATCTAACAGAATCTAGAACAACAACTGGTAAACTTTTTACACAGATGCGATTCAACAATGTCCAAATTTTATTTGATCTTGGATATGTTTGATCCAGAATTAAGTTTGTTTTAATGCTGCTGTTGTAAACCTTTGGAGAGAGAGGAAAAAAAAGACGGGGGGGGAGGTGGATGGATTAGCAAATGCAGACTTATTTACATCTTTGAAATGATATAAAAGGTTTTCTGTAAACTAATTAACCAACAAATTCTATTCAGTTTCAACTCAGTAGACTTCAAAATGCACTTAATTGAATATTTTAAGTGGCACTGGACTGAATTAGGATACATTAACAATTGAGCAGGGACGTGTGATTCCCAGCGCACATAGACATACATACCCATGCTAGTTTTCCTCAAGCTAGCACCTAAAAATAGCAAAATGATTTATAGTGTCATGGGGTGGCTGCTCACTCTAGCTGCCTCTGTGTTGCCTGGGACAATCCTACCCTCTGGGTACATGGTTGGTGTGCCACTGTGGACACAATTTAATTTTGTAGATGCTAGCCCCAAAAAGCTAGCATGGGAATGTCTATGCAAGATGGGAGTCACACCTCAGTGCAAATGTAGCCTTATCCTTAGGTTCAAAGGTCAAACTCTGCTGTTATAAATTGGCACAATTCTATTGAAATAAACATATGGGCTTATATAAAAACACAATGGTTATGAAATGAAAGATGAAAAGCAATAATTTCACTAATACATTTTGTGATTGAAATGAAAACATTTTTGTGAGTTTGCTTTAGATTTAAAACTGAAGCAGAACAGCATTATTTCTCCAGCATGTGAAAGCTGGAGAGGTCAAATTGTTGACAAAAAAGTACAACAAAATACGTGCTTTTAGATAAGTATATAATCACTTCATCTAGGTTTTTTTTTTTAAGCATGTTCAAAATAATCATTTTTCCTAGTGTTCTGTTAAATTGAATAGCATTTCCAAATATCTGAAGAAATAGGTTGCTAGCCATCTTGCTTTCATGCTAACTTGTGGCCACAACTGGATTTGCTGCGGTGGATTCTTGCAACTGCATACTGCCCTATTGCTCTGCATGGGTACTCATAGACCCAGTTGCAGCATCTGGCACCCCAGGGAGACACATTCTGCTTACTTTCTTAGTTCAAAAAATGTTAATATATTTTCCATGCAAATAAAACTTACTTTAAAACAACCAGGGAGCTCTTCAGCCTTGCTGAATTAATCTACTGGCTAATACTTCAATTATTGTGAATTATGTCAGCAGACAGAATCTATTTCTGGGAAATACATTAGACGTAAAATGGCAGCTCTCATAGAAGACTCTTTTGTTATTTGTAGTGCAGTAAGAGCCGATTGCCAGACACCATATAAACACAGGATAAAAGACAGTTCCTGCCCCCAAAGACCTTATAGTCACCTGCAAATTTAATCAGGTTTCTTTACCTGGAATGTTAAGGATAGCATGAACCAGAGCTTCAGCTAAACACCAACAGACATGAACAAAAGTGAAACACAGCTACAGGTTTCATTTTACTGTGCCCCGGTGAACCAAATATCTAAGGTTTCACACCATGCTTTTCAGATGTCTCCCATTTTGAGAGATGTCACTCATTTAAGATGGGAGAGTAGTCCCCACTGACCTTACCACAGAGAAGACACTGCAGTAAGTATGTTGACTGCCGCTATGCTGTTTGCATAGCTGAAGTGGCGTAGGTTAGATCGGGGGAGGGGGGGCGGGTGGTTAGCATAGACAAGGGATGTAAAAGGCATTTACAAATGTAAAAGTGACAGCTTTTTACTGAAGAGCCTGCAGCGAAGCCTCCC